CCCCCTCTCTCTCTCTCTCTCTCTCTCTCTCTCTCTCTCTCTCTCTCTCTCTCTCTCTCCCTATCTCCCATCCTCCCCCTCTTTCTCTCTCTCTGAATTTCTTAAGTCTCACTTTTAGACATGCCCATACTTTCCAGAAAATGTATCTTAAAAAAAATTATGACAACTATGTATTTGTGAATAAGTAATGGTACAGCTGTTTCTTGAAAATACACTAACTATTGTAAATGTAATTATTATCTTCTTCAAATTTTCTCCTTCTTAGTACACTGAAAAATTTACTGAAATCGTCTTCTAAAACTTTTGTATTTTTGCCTTGTGTTTGGGGATCTTAAAGTAATTTTATTTTTACACAAGTTTAATGTTTTAGTACAGACCCTGTTGATGGGACATCTACTACTTCTTTATTCCATGGCTAACTGAAAGTCTTATTTATTGTAAAGGATTTGCCGTTTTTTAGATTTTGTTTTAGATGAAGGCTGACTGTTGGAGGGTACTGTTGTTAGGTTCTTTTTCTGTACCGTCCCGTTTTGTTTCTGTCTGTCAGTCTTGCCTTTTCCCTGCCTGAAATTACTGTCATTGTGTCTTAACCCCCAAAATTAATTAATTAATTAATTTTTGTTAAGAGCTTTCTCCTGGCTTTGCTTCTCACTTGTTTGGGGGACTGTCTTGTTTTTCAGGTTTGACAATCCATTGCCTTTTCAAGGGGCTCCCTGTGTAGAATCCACTGCAGACTCTTTTCTCAAGCGGATAAAAAAAGTACTGAAGAATTATGATTAATTCTGATCTGTGGCAGAGTGAAAGCGCAAGTTTTGTATATGATTGAGATGTTTGCCATTGTTGTTTGAGCTTGGTGTGAAAGATTTTAGCGTCCGAGGACGTTTGTGCTGAACTGGCTTGGATCCTAGGGTTCATAAACACTTCTCCGGGATTACTCTCCTGTTGTAAATATAGAAAGGCTTTTCGGATTTGGCCAAGCCTAGGGGTAGTACTTGAAAGTTGTGTTTCTATTCAATTTGATCAAATTTGTGCTGCATTATCATTTTTTAAAAAATAGTATAAAAGCATGGCCATAGGGATTTTTATTTAAGTTTTTTTTTGTTGTTAATTAGTTGTTTTATTTTTTTTTTAAAATAATATAAAAGCATGTCCATAGGGATATTAATTTGAATTTCTTTTGGTAATTAGTTGTTTTAGCCTCTACATAGATCATTAGCATACGAGGGGTATACCAAAAGTTCTTTACCTGACCATGAATGAATAATGGTAGAAAGCTGAAACTTGGTACTCACCTTAATCTTTCTCTATATAATATAGTCACCTCCCACAGTTATACATTTTTGCCATCAGTGTATGACCTTGAAAAGACCTTGAGAATATTGAAGACCCTCTCTTTCTCAGAAGACCAGCCCTCTACCACTTCTTTGACCTCACCATCACTTTCAAAATGCCTTCCTTTTAAATCTTTTTTCAGTTTGGAGAATTTTTACAAAAGTGGGACGGGGCTAAATCTGGAGAATAGGGTGGATGTGGCAAAATTCCATACCCACTCCACTCTCTCGCGCATTTTCTACAGCTTTTCTTGAAGTGTGTGCTGGCGCATTATCGTGAAGCACAAAAATGTCTTTTTGGATCTTTCACGTGCGTTTCCTAAGCCCAGATCTAACTTCCGCAATTTGAAGCGACGTCGAATCATATTTTCTTAATTGTGATAAACCCAGATCGAACTTCCGGTATTCACAGCGCCGTCGAATAGTTTTTTTCTTATATTGTGATAGTCCAGATTTGACTTGCGCTGTTCAACGCCAGTCACTGAGCGCGCGTGTGTTGTTGTCGCGTGCGCGCAGACAGTGCAATGTGTTGACACCACGTCACCATTCAGTTCATAGTATAGTGCTTCGAATTTTGAGTAGGGTTAGGGGAGCTCATTGCGACAGCTAACTTCATGGAAAAAACTTTCGCTGCGCTTCAAGAGTCAAGTGCCCTTGCTTGAGCTGTCCATAGTGTGACGAGTGAGTACTGAATAGTAAGAGCTACTCTCTAAAGAATTGTTTTATAACTCTTGTAGGCTTCTCTTATCACTCTGTCTCGTAACCATCAAATAAAGAGTATTTCTGTATATTTATCCTAATGATTTTAGATATAATGTACTCCAATTTTTCTACTTTTGAGAAAAATGAGACGAAAATCCATTACATTTATCTGTTTTTAAAAAATAGCACGGTATTTGACTGGCTCTGCCACGCTTCGAATAGCTGTGAATAGTGCAAAAATCATGAATGTCGAATAGTAGTCGAATGGGCACAGCTCTAATTAAAAGCAGTAATCGAAAATTCCCCAAAATTTACATCCATTCTAGGAAGATGATTGTTGGCTTTCAGCTTTATACCTTTATTCCTTCATGGTCAGGTAAAAAAAATGTTGGTATGCCCTTCGTTAATTAATGTCAAAAAACAGTTTTAATGCATTATTCAGGACTTGATGGTGAAGTCTCTTATTGTCATCTCTGCTTTTTTAGGGATGAACATTTGAAAGCAAAATTGTCCTGTCAAGTTTGAAGGAACGGGTCTTAAACTTTTTTTAACTAAGAAAATTCAATTTTCTGTAAACAGTAAGAAATTTTTATTTGTTTATAATTTGTTTATAATTTTTGTTCTGAAGTAAAATTGCAATAATTTGTTTTTGCTTCCCTGTTATATATGTATGTATTTATGTGTGTGCGTGTGTACAAGATACTGTATGACGCAATGTAAAGAGTTGTGTTTTATTGCATTTTATGAAACAACGATAATTTCTTTACAACTTGCTTTTTAAGTTATTAAAATAGCTTCACTACTTTGTGAGTGTGGTTAACTCGTTGAGCCCTGACCTCCTGAGGCTACCATACCCCTCTGCCTGAGCTCCTGAGCGATATATTACAAACATTCATTTGATCGTCTGAAGCTCATTCCAAATCCCACTCAGGGTAGTCAAAAAGATCTTCAAAAAAGTCATAAACGTTTTGTGTAGTAAGCACTGTTTTCCGCTCTCGTTTTGTCTCTGGCGCGCCAGGTTGGGGATGGGGTCTTGCTCACCGGTGTACCGGTGGCTAGGTATATGGACAGTTTTACGCGGCACTAGCAGTGCTCAAAGGGTTAATATTGTTAGGGAGGGATTTGAGAAAAATTGTTTTAAAGTTTCCCTTAGATCTGGACCAAGGTCTACTCCTAATCCTGATGAATATTGATCGATGGGTCTGTCGTGTTGTTTGCCTCTGAAACCTTTGACAACACTATTACTACGCAAAAAGCAGTTTAAGGCAATTAAGCAGTTTCAAAGTGTCACTAAAACGTTTTTAAAGCAAATTCACAGTCAATTAGAGACCAGAAATTCTGCAAAATTGTCTTGGCCTTGTTCACGAAATGTGGGAGGGTACATGTTTGTCCGAAGCCTCATATTTTAGTGATCCGTTTATGCACACAAAGGGCGGTATTTGATATATCGCCTAAAAAAAACAAACTTTTTATCTTATCAAGATTTTTAAAAATTTGTTTGGTCACAGGCCTATATGACGAGTGCCATGCAAAGTTACATGAGCATTGGTAAATTAATAAATGAGCTAGAATATTTTTTAAGTGGTCAGATGAAAATGAATAACCTATAAAAGTACATTCATCCTGCAACACTTTTAAAAGAGAACATGTTTGTAACGATCTTTCTTTTGTGGTTAAAAATTTTAAAAAGAAGCCGTCTCAATCTTGAATGTGCTTGAAGAAAAGATGTATGACTGCTTGAACTGTAGTGGCAAATATATTCACAAATGGATGGCGTAAAGTCACTCCTGACAAATCAAGAATAGTGATCCAAATGTCTGTCTTGTTACTAGTGAAATAACTCAGAATATGGTCTTAGATTGAAATTGTTTTACGTATATATATATATGATTTTTTTCATTTTGCGTACTTTAGAAAAGGATAACAGTACATTTGATGGTACCTGTCTTTCCAGTTAATATCCTAAGATTCCAGACTCATAACTTATACTTTTGCCACAATTCAATGTTTTGCTTGTCATTTTGTTTAGTTTGAAATACAGTTGAACCTGTTCAAATGACCAGCTGTCAAAGACAAGCAAGTACAAATGACCACTTTCCTCCCTTGCCTTTTTTCTTTACTATATAATGACACTGTCCTAGAGTTGTATGCATATTTCTATGAAATGTTTTCAGATACTTAATTTTTAAACATTCCATATTTTGGTTGCCGTCCAGTAAATTTCTCATTCCTCAAAATAACATTGGGGATATTTTGTCATGTAATACACAAAACCAGTTCATTCTGTGCAATTGAATGCCCAAAATTTTAATGTATTTTGGGCATCAGTTTAAGATATTTATGGGAAGATGGTATGTCTCCTTTAGATTCACACGTTTTTTTGGGGGGGGCATGGGTATTTTTGTTTTAAGACAAGAGAATGAGGAATACTCTATTGTCACTGAGAAATTTTCTGCGTTTGTGCAAAGGTGGTAAAAACACATGTATGTCAATGCAGTGAAATCAGGCGCTCGTCAAAACAATAAAACTGAGGAAAGTGGCATTTTCCCGCCGTATGGCAATTTTTATTGAAGTTTGGTTTTTCGCTCAACACCTTTAATGTCCATTTAAAATCTCATTTCTGTGTGGATTTTACAGAGAAATGTTGATTATAGGCACTAATTAATATGTAAATTTTAAGTTTCCAAGGGTTGTCAAGCTATGGAAGTCGCCAAACATTGGCAGCCTTTTCCCCACTAATTTTACCTCTTGGACCAGGTGACCCCCACCTTCTTCAATCACTGATATCTCAACTGCCATTCAAGATAGACGGGTATTTTTTCATTTAAAAAATGACAAAGAAGCTGTAAAATGACTCCAATAGGTTAATAACTCTCTATGCCCAAAAATTGGTGAGCATCTGATTTCACCACGATGGCTCACATATGTGTCACGACGTGGTGGAATCTGGTGCTCGCCAATTTTTGGGTATGTGGAGTTTTTGGTATCATCTTAAAACTTGTTCAATTGTGTTGCTATTGGCAACAAAAAATGCCCGTCTATCTTGAGTAGATGTCAAGATATTTGAGATTGAAGAAAGTGGGGTCGCGTGGTTTCAAAGGTAGAATTAGCGAGAAAATGGTTATTTCCATAGCTTGATAGTACATGGAAACTGAAAACTTACTTTTTTTGTGCCTTTAATCAACATTTTTCCGTAAAATCCACCCCAAAATGTGTTCTTAATTGGGCAACAATGGTGTTAAGCCAAAAAACAAAAATTTAATAAAAAATTATCGAAATGACAGAAACATGTTAGTTTCTTCAATTTCATTATTTCAACGAACGCCTGATTTCACCACGCTGTCTCACATATAGATAAAGATAATAATACTTAACAAGCCTCCTGGCCACTGAGCAGTTCTGCAAAGTATGGCACTGGTTTGGACCTCATCTCATTCAGGGTTTTCAAGCTGCTTGCCTGCTGGCTCCTGCAGTGCCATATTTCAAAGCACTTATCTGCTGATGCTTTACATTTAGAAGTCTCTCTGTTTATTGTATAAATAATAAAGTCCTTTTAATGGCATTGCTTTTACCTTGTCTGTGGGAACCAAACTGGTAATTAAAAAATTTCTTCTGCATCTTTCGGAGACCAGGTTCTTGATTCCCGAAAAGTTCCAGTGCCATTCTTCATTTCCCATATGACAGTGACGGCATGTTTTAGTTTGTTCATTTTCTGTATCACTGGGGAACTTGATCATAATGTCTAGGATAGTTTTATCACTAATGTCTTGCTTTTCCTTGTGCATTCTCTGCTCCATGTGCTAAAAAATTATTTTTGTTCTCTGGTATCTTTTATTACATGTTGTGATTATTGGTTCAAGTCACAACATGGCTTGTATAAGATAAGATAAAACTGTATTGTCCAGATCCTGGCACATTGATGTTTCACCTCATACACACAAACACACTCACACATGCATGTGCAAGCACGCATACGCATGCAAGTGGGCACACCCATACTCGCGCGCGCGCACACACACACACACACACACACACACTCACACATACACACACACACATCCCCTCCTCCACACACATCAGTGCATATAATCATAATAATACAATAGTATGCTTGCACTCACAGGCTCACAGTCACATGCATAAATAATAATAATATAAATGAACAATAATCGTTAACTTTAATAGTGTTAAGGCAAGGTGTGTAATTGTTAGTTAACTCTTTCCGGAGGTATCGCCGATATATCGGCGCGAGTCTACACCCCTCGCAGAAGTATCGCCGATATATCGGCTGTGATAGGGTGCTTCAGTATTGTTTCGTTTTAACATGATCCGTCATTTGTAATGACTTTTTATTATTATTTTAAAAACTCGGAAAGGATTTAGGAAATGAAATCATCTAGTTTCATTTAGTCAAAGCGTTGGTTTGGGGAAAAACAAGTGAATTAGTTTTTGCGGTCTTGCATCTATAAAACGATGTAACCGGACTCAGTATAAATATCATAACTCAAACAAAAATTGGAATATTGCTTTCAAATAAAAAGCTGTGCATTCAGAAATTTATGGATTATGCTCTTGGCCTGTATATGATAAGATAGCTATGCTGATTTGCTTCCTCATGTTTGGTGAATGTAATTTTATCAGTCAAAATTTATTTTTCTCGTCGCCATTGCCATTTCTAACCCTTCTAATGCATACTTATGTTCAAAATTAATCCTTGTTTTATATTGGCATGTATTCCTCATTCAATTTCCTTCAATTTGATATCATATGTTGCATTTGGAGTGATGGTTTTGCTTCTATGAAGTCATTTTGTACACCACCTGCATAGCCAAAGCGAGCCACAGGTTAATTATGTCTAGACCCCAAAAAAACTACTTCCGGAAAGAGTTAAACGTATTGCGGGTATGGACTTTTTATCCCTCATACTTGTGTGTCTTACTCTTTTCGCTGCTATTTTCTACATATTGGAAAATTGTACGTCACTTTTAAGGCTTCATTTCATGGGCACTGTCCAATGAAAATTGATTTCAGTTGTCCAGACTAATTATTTTTTCATATTGTTGCAAACAGAAGACATACATTCCAAAAATTAAACTTGACCCATGACCCACTATCT